GAGAGAGATGTTCGTTTGAGGGTCATATATGTGTGTGTCCCTTTAATCTTAGTCCACACGTTACCTATAAAGGGAAGGTTAATATTGAACGGAAGCTCCTGTGACCTCCAGTTGTTATGACAACCCGTTTTCTGCTAATGTTGGCCACCCATCCAGGCACTATCCAGGCTCGGCCCCGGTTTGAGCCTCTTTGGTCTGACGACATTCTGGCACATTCTGGGCGATTTGGTCACGGGCGATCTCATGATTGCAGTAACATTTACGATGAGCAACACCTTTTTGTCATCACCTTACCTTGCAGTGGAAAAATGTCTTACAAGGCAGTGGGTTTGCTGTGTCGCCGTGCATCAATGCCCGAATTGCCCTTTCACGGTTGTGGCCGAGCAGCGTACAATTCCGTAGCGGGGACCGTCTCGCTCGCTCCGCGTGCGGGAACCCCTTTTGTTTCGCAGAAGGAGAGAGAAAAAAGGAGTGATAGAACGAGCACGACAAGCCCGTACCACCTCACCTATCGATTTGTATTATTTATTATTGTTTTAAAGGTCTCGGCGATACGAGTGAGCGGATTTTGAAGGATTGACGCCGAATTGGCGCTTAAACGTCTCCTGGCGGCGGTTGCCGTGATTTATTATCAGCCAACGTTACTGCTCGGGGAAGATCGGGAACTATTGGCGCTGCGCGGCAGATCACTCCCCCCCACAACGCCAGCGCCGCGTCTCCCGGTCGCTACTCGGCACCGGCATTTTCAATTTGGTTCCCTTAACCACCACTCGCTCCCCCCTGCCCACCACCACCACCACCCCGTTTGGATTCCCAGTTGAAGGTCGACTTGAGCCCACCATCCCTTCACATGCACGTGTGTATTTTGAACTTCTTTCGCACCGTGCGTTGCCAACCGCGCTAATCGGAGGTGCGAAATGGGACGTACACGCGCCCCCCTTCTCGTCAATCAGCCACTGAAACGAGGGCCCGTGCCGAGCGTTTCGTGCGGGTTGCCCGGCCGTACTTCCCCGTGGCCGGTCAGTGCAGGTTTGCGAAGGCGGAGGGCGTAGCCGTGTGTTTGTGGTAGCCGTCGTGCAGCGCGCCAATGGAATTTGCTGTGCTGCCGTTTTCCTGGCCACCACGAAGCGCCACAGCAGCCCCCCCCCGTCGCAAACTGCTTTATGCATCACCCTTCCATGCACTAATCCAGTCTCAGACCTGCTTCGCTTCTGAGATCTGACGAGATTGGACGCAGTCGATAAGGGTTCAACGCTCCACGCGGGGGTTAAGTTGAGTAACCCCATTGCACCACGACAAACAGCGGCTTTGGAGTCACCCACACCCTCTGTTGTGTGGAACTTCTGGGATTGGCCTTCGGTCGTTTAAGGAATTGGTTAGTGCCCGTCCCGTGCTCGATTGAGCAGGAGACCACGTTGCCATTTAAAACAAACAAAAAATGCACATGATGTATGTGTGTAGAACTTCTTTCGCCACCGTATGTAGCCGACCGCGCACATCGGAGGTGCGGTGAGCCTGCTGACTCGGAGTCATTTGAACTAAGAGAGCCAATTCCGAGGCAGCGCTTCCAATTGCCGGTTCCTTCATCCTCACTCTGCCCATCATCCCGCAGCTGGATGAAGCCCCCCCTCCCGCTCCACAAGCCATCGCTACCTACGATGTTTCTGCAGCGATGTAACGATCCAGTGGGCAACTTTCACGTGAGCTCGTTTAAATCTCTCCGTTCATGTGGCCGACTTCCCTCTCGAGGTGTGTGTGTGTGTCCCGCCTTTGACTGCTATTCTAGGACAAGTCTCGTCCATCGGCCGTCATTCCTTTGAGCGGTGTGTTCTGCAGGAGATTCGGGGTTCGATCCCGACCCTGACGCCTGCTGCTGTATATTTCGAGTTTGCGTGTCTCTCTCCCCCTGTGGTCGCGTCGATTTTTCTTCTCCGGGTTTTCCGTTTTTTCCCCCCTCCACGTTTACAAACATGCATTGAAGAGTATTAGGATTTTTTGGCTGCTATACATTTCCACATGGTGAGCCACTTCGTTGAGCTATCATTTGTGGCCAGGTCACTTATGAAAAATAAGCTAATAGCTCAGTCGGCTTTACCTGGTAAAATTAAATAGTCTAGAAAAACTGTTATATTCTTTTAGTGCACTCCTATAGTGTTTTTGTATTGTTTGTGGTTGTAGTAACATTTATAGCTCATCGGATTCCTCCGGTGGAAATAAATATTCTGATTCTGAAGTGTATGCTCCCAAATCCTCTGACTGTCTCTTCGTGTAATGTAAGCGTCGACCTCTCCAAACTTGTGCGGGCTTTTCAGCTCCACTCTGCTCACTGTGTTGTGCAAAACAGTAATTTCCTTCTTCAAGGATTGTTTTCGTGTTCTTGTCGGATTTGTTTTGGGTCCTGGACGGCCTCCTGCAGCTTATTTCAACGCAACTCTTAAACTCCCACATCACTAAACTTCCGTTTAACCAAACACAACTACAGCTGGCGGATTTGTAAATTGCATACAACGCAACGTTTACGATGTTAACGTTATCCCGCGAAAAATTTGACTATCCCGCCAATGACCAAATACAGCATCTAGGAATCCTGCGCGGTAGAATTTTGAAGCCGAATCGTTATTTTTAATGAAGTTTTGTCAATGCGTAGAAAAGCGGCAACTGGCGAGAAACGGAGAAAGACGTGGAAGACAAATGCAGGTACGGAGGGAGATGCATAGATGCATGGAGACAGAAACAGAGCTACACTGAGAGACAAAGACACAGGGATGGACACAGGGATATGCAATCAGAGACGGAAACACAGAGAGTTATGGGACAAGAGCGCAGTCACTGAGAGACAGATGCAGATATGTCTCTCATTATTTGTAATGAGAAAACTCATTAAAAATAAAAAACGTATTCATAGTAAATTTTGATTTAAAGCTTTCGTGACTGCAGTAATTCATATTCTTAGCTCTTTCGGTAAAGTCACGTTGAAGGGAAACAATAAAATAATAAAATATATAAAACAATAAAAATTCTCACGACGTTTCGACCATAACACAAACGGTCGTCATCAGGTGTGTCGGTTTGCAAAACGTCGTGAGAATTTTTATTGTTTTATATATATTTTATTATTTTATTGTTTCCCTTCAACGTGACTTTACCGAAAGAGCTAAGAATATGTATTCATAGTAGTCGAGTAACTTGCCGTTTCTGGCGTCCCTCTTAATGGGAACGACTCGCATTGTTTAAGTACTCAAACCTACTGGCTGCACAGTCAGCATTATCATCGCCGTCATTATCATCACCACCACCAGCCATCAATCATTCCCATTTTTCCATCGTTACAACAAAAAAAACCACCCCCGCCCCATCTCGCGAGCGCCGGCTGTGCCGTGGCTTATGAATCGGACATGGCCCTTGAAGCCTGGCCCTGGCCGACCGTGGGATTTAGCGGATTTGTCTGCTCTGCTCGCCGCTCGGTCCTGCCCGGCGGCGGGCGCGATCGATGATTTGTGCATCACCTCTCGCTCCGCCGCGTGAATGCCCTCCTGTGCCACCGCCGCCAATTAAAACGTGACGACGCGACAATGCCCGTTCCCGCGTCGCGGGCACGTCGCGTCTGTAAAGCCCCCCGCCCCCCCAGCCCCACCCACCCCTTGGTTACGCATCCTCGAGCGGAGGTTGCGGTCCGTCTGCGTGGACGGCGCTTTCAGTCCGCAGGCCATCGCTGCGTGTTCTCGAAGCGGACGTGTGCGTCGCATTACCACCGCGGCTACGGCCGGCGTCAAAAGGTGGCGGCGACCGGCGCGTTGCGAAAGATCTTCTTTGCCCGCCCCTTGAAACTCGACGCCAATTAACCCCAGCGGGTCCGTCTCAAATCGGTCGAGATGTGGCAAGACGGCCAAGCTGAGACGCGACGCGGTGGTGGCCTGACCTCCCTCTGCGTGCGCGTGTGTGGGTCTTAGGCCTGCACATGTGGCCCAGCTTTAAATATTTAATGGTGAGCTGCTGCACCAGTCTTGGATGCATGGTTGTTAATTGGTAGCTTCACAAATCGTACGTTTACCGCTTTAACAGCCGGCGTGGAGCGGTGGTGCAGCGGTCAGCGCGCTGCGCTGGGAAACCGAGGCGACCCGAGTTCGATGCCCGCTCACGACCAAGAACAGTGGCGAATATATTAACTGATCCTGGGCACTCACCTAGGTCGACTGAGCCTGAAATGATGGCCAGCTGCTGTGTGTAAACATCAGCAGTGGGGAGACAAAAAGGCCGGGCATGGTGTTGGCAACTCATCCCCTCATATGCCATTCTGGTGCTTCATTGGTGCTACATGCTAACAGATACCTGCCCCAACAGTCTGTTAAAGGCTATATGGGGGCGGGGGGGGGGGGATCATTGTATATGATCAGGCCTGTCTTGTTGTTTATGGCTGGATTGCTCGATAATGAATGCATTGAATGTTCAGAGTTCACAGCGGTCCAACACAATGTGGTCGATGGCCTGTTCAGTGGTACCCGCCGATCTCTCTCGTGGAATTCCGACTTGTTAAAGTTGTGGGTGCATCTGCTGCGCGGTGTGCAGATTTGATTTAACGGGGGACAATGTTTTTTGAGGCAGGTCAACTCCCGGAGGTTCTTGCGTAGGATCCAGCGATCTGGTGCTTGTTGTGTGATGACGACAGTGGATATGGCTATTACATTTAACACAACATTAACACGAGTGGTGCACCGAATAAAACAAAAAAATATTTTGAACTATTTGTTATATTGCCAGGTAAAGCCCACTGAGCTATATAGCTCCTTTTCAGAAGTCACATGACCACTAATGATTGGTCAACCAAGTGTCTTTCTCTCTAATCATCATCATCATCACGGTGGCTAGGAGATAACTACCTCGCCTGGCATACAGGAGGTCGTGAGTTCGATCCCGACCCTTACTCCTGCTGCATACCAGGCGAGGTAGTTGGTCGCCCGTGCCCGCCCACCCAAACCGTAAACGTCGATGTCTTCCCGCAGGCCTGTTCATGTGTACGTTCTGCCGGAGGGAGGTGGAGGAGGACGAGTCGGCGGTGCCCAAGAAGGACGCACGCACGCTGGTGGCGCGCTTCAACGAGCAGATCGAGCCCATCTACGCCCTGCTGCGCGAGACCGAGGACATCAACCTGTCCCACGATGTGCTCGAGCCCGAGCCCAGCGACATCCCTGCTCTCAAGCACCTGTGGGTCACGCTCACACTTTTTTCGTGTTTAGTTTGTTGTCCTTCCCCGCACCTCCGATGGGCACGGTTGGCTACGTACGGTGGGAAAGAAGTTCAACATACATACACTCCAGTGGTCCCCTCCTTCCCTCCGATTATTTTTTTCCTCCTGCCTCTATTCCATGCCTCTTTCTTGTTACATCCGCTATCCTTGCGTAGAGATCTGCAGACTTGTATACCGGAGAACGGACTTGCATGCACTTTTAATCGTGTAGCTGGACAGTGCAACCCTTAGATAATGGCCGTCAGAAGCGATTATCACAGCTACCTCTGGGATGCCTTCAAGTAACACCGAGGCCACTCGCACACACGTATATGTTTGTTCGTGTTGAACTTATTTTGCACCGTAAATAGCCAACCGTGCTAGCCGGAGGTGCGGGGGGAAGGACAACAAACAGAACGGTCGTGGGCAACCCTTTGCCACCCACTCTGCGTACGAGCGACATTCATAGCAGGGACAGTTGGAACAGATCTTCCATTCTCAACAGCTGAATTTCAGCAAAATTAAATGGTGGGCGTTTTGGTCTTTCTGGTGACCAGGCCCAAGACCAGGTTTGATCACAGGTGTGCTGCCGACCTTCGCGAACCCACGCAAAACTCGCTTTATTTATTTTCCCCTAGCTCACCCCACAGCCCCTTAATCTCCCCTTCATTTCCACCGTCGTTACCGAACCACAGCATTACACGGCTATCACTCATTAACCCATTCATTCAATCCATTCATCATCATTTACTGTGATCAATTTTGCTTTCACCAAATTTTCGCATCGCAGATTTCCCCCCCATTGCTGCCGCTCATCTATTTCACTCGCCTCGTCTCCACCATTACATTCGCACACGTACCGTTGTTCATTTTTGTCAAACGCCTTGATCAAGGCGCTATATACATTCTGTCAAGATAAGAATCTGTTGCCGCCTTCCTCGGCAAACCTCGCAGGTTGCGCGGGCAGGCGGTGGGCGCTGGTGTCGTGCCGGCCCGCGAGGCCTGGTCGGCGAGGGCCCCCACGTACGACGACCTCTACACGCAGAACGTGACCATCAGCCTGGAGCAGGGCGACCCGGAGCGCCGCGGCGGCTCCTCCTCCGCCTCCGCCACGGCCGCCGCCGCCGCCGCCGCCGCCTCCGAAGACCGCCGCCCGGCAAAGGAGCGGCCCGTGTGGATGACGGAGAGCACCGTGCAGGGCGCCTACCTCGACTCCGCCGCCGCGGTCTACGCAGGTAACCGCCGGCGGGGTCTGAGCCGGCAAGGGGGGCAGGCGGCGCAAGCGGCGCCAGTGAGGACGGGAGGCATCGTTTTATTCCTTTAAAGCCAGGGTCGTGACCGTGCCGTCCGCGACACGCCAGTTGGCAGGTACCTGCGGTTCTTAAGCGGGACAGGCGGGCGGACCGAATGGGCGGCATCATTTACTCAAGCTCGGTGGTCTTTTATTGGGATTTTTGGCCAATTGTTTGCACCTCGGGTATGTGGCTCGGTGTCAGAAAGTGCAATAGCGTGCTTTAGCAGGCAGGGGGCACACCACTTGTTCAGTTTGCCAATGTCCCGCTCATTTATTGGCCGCAGCCCAAGTCCATCTTTGACCCTGTCACTTCCACCTTGGGGGCCTCTCGCTGACCTCTGCCGCCCTGCCCCCTCTGTACCATTCAGCAGCAACATCCTCCACCTGGGTCACGTTTTCTTTGCCATATTTCAGAGGTGATGGGGTCACACGTAACTCATTGTCAGTACCATAGAAGTTCCCTGTTTCGTTTTGTGGTAAAAAAATTGGTCTCGCTTGACTTTGTACGGTGATACTTCCACAAATACATGCTCTGACCGACTGACAGATTAAAACGTGAAGCTGTTAATTTGTAGATGAAATAATAAAGTAAAACAAATTTTTTTTGCTGTTTTCGAAAGCAAAATATAAATGAGAACCACTGTTGCACTCATTTCAAATCTGCCTATGACGTTGGCATTTGGTGCGAGGATTTATGTGTAATTTTAGACTGCATAAGGACATGGTGCAGTGTATTGAGTAATATTGAGCGAAATTAGATTTGCCCTGAATGGATTCCTGACTGCTGACAGTTTGTGTTTGGCGGGGGTGGGGGGGAAATAGAGTATAGGGAGACCTGTGTGGCATGAAAGAAAATGCAAACGTATCTGGAATGCCAATCGGGCTTAGCTCGGCAGATAAGAGATTAAACTGAAATCCTGGACGGGACTGTGGCACCTTAATTAACCCCTTAAAGTCTCCTCTAATGTGTAAATATGGTCGTAGGCTTTGACATTCATTGTGACACCAGCCTTTGGTAGAATGTTAAGTCAACACATTATTTTAATTAAATAAAAATTTGGCACGCCTAAATGTCCCCGTGTTGAAATCGAGGGAACAGTAAGTGTATTATTTACTTGTCCGTTAACATACACAGTTCAAAGGCACTGCAATGGAAAACATTTTAATAGCGTTCATTTACATCGTCGTGGGGTTTTTGTTGTTGTGTGTGTGTGCGTGAGAGGGTATTCTATTGTCTATAATTGAGAAGCGTTCTTGCAAAATCTCCCGCTGAAACATTCCGGCGGCATCCAAGAGAAGGGGCCGTTATATGAGCCGTCTGCGGCAGTGCCCCTGTGTGTATTTTTTGTTGTTGCCATTTTAAAAAATCTCATTGCAGGAGAATGGGCATTTGGGATTCATGCCAGCAGGGGGGGAGGGTTCTTGAGTCTCAACCCACTGCTCCCAAATCGTTTTTTTTTATCCTAGTCGGCAGGTAGCCGACGCACCTCTTGGCTCCGTTCTTTATTCATCGAGCGGCATGTATCTACTGGACACCTGTGTAAAAGAGTTTTTTTTTTTTATAGCTCATCGGATTCCTCCAGTATAAATAAAGATTCTCATTAACCCAACGTTCAGTGGGAAGAAATTATGACAGTTTAAAAAAAAATTCAAGAACCCAAAACACAGACATCAAAGATTGAAGCGCAGGTCATGATTGCGTAATGAACCCGGGGCGATATACCCTCAAACGAAGGACCGATTGGAGGCACTCGGCCTCACTGCCCTACCACAGTAGAGGCAACGATCGGGAGTAGCGTATTTGCGAGGGGAGGTTGGCTACGTGCGGTGGGAAAGAAGTTCAACATACGTACATACAAGAGGGCTCAGGGGGATGGGAGCGATGATGGTGTTCTTTAATAGACAATAATACTCCTGACCCCTTTCGATTGTACAGCGGAAAATGAATGTCCTCTGACAGATCTGAGTGAGATTAGGCCAGTGTAGGCTGTGGGTTACGTGGCAGTGGGATGAAATATCCACCTGTAATTAATCACGCTTCATGCAGCTGCCTTGTAAGGCGTGCGTACGCGGTCAAGTTTAATGGATGCACCAGCAGACGAATAAGTTGAATGAAGAAACCCAATGAGATTTTTCTCTTGTTAAACAAAACAGGTTTTAACCCCTAATGGGATTGCCAGCGTCTGTGTCGAAGTCACGACACGGGGGGGGGGGGGAGGGGGGGGAATAAATAAATACAACTGGAGCCTTCTATCAATTTTGCAGCGTATGGAAGCTGCTCACCGTGAAGATGATAAGTTTAAAAAACAAGCCAAAAAGCGCCGTTGTGAATACCATCGCACTGCCCAGAAATAGCACAGCAGTAAAACCTCGGCGTGCTTCCTGGAGCCGTTGTGTGTCCTCGGCGCTCGTGCTGCGATTGAATGGATTTCACACATCTGCTGCTTCTGCGAGTACTCTTAAACTTTGCGAATTAATGTGTCACCTGCTTTCGGGAATACCTCTTGAGGACAAAGGACATCTGGAGTTGGCCTGCCGTGCTCTTTTTGACGCGTGTTTAAATGTCGCGTGGACGTGACATTTGGATTGGGGTGGGATTTGTTTGATTGTACTTCACCACGCCGGTCGGTGCGGGTTGGTTTCTTTCTGTTCGTGCGCACGATGGCAATGTGTTCAGGAGCTAAATTCCAATGTCGAGGTCTGCTAGTGATGACAAGAGCGCTTCAGGCTTGAGAGTCCTTCTGTATTTTTAGCTGGTTACACTCAAAGACCTCATTCGATCGGTTTCTTGATCACCACCAGCACCACCACCGACGTCCATTTCCAGACAACCGTATTCGTTGTGTTCAAGGTAACAATGGAAATGTGTTACGGGTGGGCCGCGACAAGGCTATGGTCTCCCACGCAGTGCCGGTTTGTGAAGGCGGGGAGTGTAGTAGTTGCTGCGTAGTACAGTACAACTACACATTTTCCTACCCTGCCCTCTGCTGGTAACGTAGCCTCGCAATAGCAGCACCGGCTGCCGCCTACTCCCGCTATCCAGGCTCGGACCTGCTTGGCTTCCAAGATGTTACGATAGCGGGCGTGATTCCAGGTGATCTGGCAATTGCAATGTCAAAGGAAGCAAAAGGCAGTCCCTTCTCCGTGCCGTTTCCGCCCCATTAATTGAATGTACGCGTGCGGGTGCACGGGCGCACGCGAGCACACGCACAGCACCCGCGGTTAGAGGCGGTGATAGAGGGAGGGAGGGGGGGGTTACCGTTTGGCCTCTCTGGACCCCGATTCTCTTTGACCCTTCTCGTCAGCTTTTGTCAGCGGTTCTCTTTGTAAAAAGAAATGGTAAAAGGTTGATGCAAAATATGCAAATGCGTTAAATAACAGAGTCCAGGTGGGGGGGGGGGGGGATGCGGTTTTTTGTTCAAAGGACTGGGGGAGGGGAGGGGGAGAGAGGGAATGGTGGGGAGCGTTTGGCTCGCGAGGCCGACGTCGGTATGCTCCGCGTGAGATGCTGCGTTGGCACGCTTGCACGACAAAGATCCAGGACCCCCCCCCCTGAAAAAGAGTCGCGAGACTCGTAGTAATAATAGTGATGATCATTGTCCAAATTTGAGGAATTAAAAAGAAAAGTACCCGTAAGTTACTGAATTGGGAGTTAGACGTAGGCAATCGTTGGCCACTACTGGCGGACGATTGCCACCCGCCTGCAGGCCCGGTGCCTAGTAGGTCACCTTCTGCCACAAGAGGGACAGCTGCCGCTGGGGGAGCCCCTTTTAAACGTGTTGAGATGAGATGTGGTGCAAGTCGTTTGTCGTGTCTAACAGCGCTCTGAGATGGCCCCGGTGCAAAAGAAGGGCGCTCGATCGAAAACAAATCATTACCGTGATTATTGACACTGCTTGAGACACGTGTGCGACACTGCTTGAGACACGTGTGCGACACTGCTTGAGACACGTGTGCGACACTGCTTGAGACACGTGTGCGACACTGCTTGAGACACGTGTGCGACACTGCACACAGCGTGCGCTCTTGACACTGCGTGCGTTTCGCAGGCGTGGGCTCCGAGACGGGCCAGGACGGCTCCGACCAGCGCGGCGGCGCGGGCGGCCACAAGCTGGACAGCGAGGAGGTGATGCGGGCGCTGCTCGTGCACGAGAAGAAGAGCAGCCTAGCGACGGGCGCCGCCGCCTCCTCGTCCTCCTCCTCGCTGGCCGACACCCGCGCCGCCGCCGCCGCCATCGCCACCGTGGGGGGGGGGCGGCGGCGGCGGCGGAGGGGTTGGGGGAGGTGGCGGCGGGGCCAGCGACTCGGAGACCGACACGAGCGAGTCGGACGACGACTCCCCGCCGGCAAAGCGGCGGCCCCAAGCCTCGTCGGCGCATGCGGCTCTGCAGCACCGGCACCAGCAGAAGCAGCATCATCACCAGCGGCACTTGGCCCAGCACTCGCAGCAGCAGCAGCAGCAGCAGCAGCGGCGGCGGGATGGGCAGGTGGACTACGACGACGACGATGACGACGACGACGATGACGAGTTTGAGGAGGTAACCACCGTGACGGTGATGGTGGCCGGGCGGCCGTACCCCTACAGCGAGGTGAGCCAGAACCCGCAGCTGGTGGCCCAAATGACGGCCGAGGAGAAGGAGACGTACATCCGTACGGGGCAGGAGATGTTTCAGGATATGTACGACTGAGGAGCTCTCCACCACGGGGCAAGGGCGGTGCGGGGCAGAGGACGAGCGGCCACGCTTCGGTGGAACTCGGCGGCGTGAGATGTGGTCGGGGGGGGGGGGGGGGGAAGGAGGGAGGGGGGTGCTCGCTGCAAAAAACACCAGCGGGCAATCGCTGCAGGGTTCACACCCCGTCCTACGATCGCCCGCCCGCCCGCCTGCGGTGCCCCTATTCAGAATCGGAATCAGAATATTTATTCATACCGGACAAATCGGATGAGCTTATTAAGCTCTTTCACAGATGTGTCTGATAGGGGGCGCACGGGTTCAGAAATATTGCGTGGGGCGCCGCCCCCTGCACGCACGGGGTGATGTGCACAGGTCGACGCGAATCACCCCCCCCCCCCCCCCCCCCCCCGGTCAAATATTTGTCATGGTGAGAAGCAGGGAACGCAGTTTGGCAATGTTGCGGCCTCCATATAAATGTGTCCTTGTTTTCTCCCATTGCTGAAAACATCATCAAACGTCGCTGTGAATAAAATGTAGCGAAACCGTGTCTCCTCGTCTGGCTCCACATTCTCGCGTTTAATTTGCTACATGTGTGCGAAATGTCAGTGCTGCAATTATATTTTTGACAATTGGTTTCATTAACTGTGTTTAACCCTTTCCCATTCCGATGACGTGCGCGTACGACTCACTTTTTTTTTCTCCGAATTCTGTTCCGATATATGTGTACGTCATCGTAACGGAATCGATAAAATAACTTTACCACTACCGAGGCTCCCACAAGGCCATGCGGGAGGGCGTGTGGCACAGTTTGGTGCCAGCTATCATAGAGTGCGGCGGTCGTGTCTTTGAAAAACAACGGCCCTACGCCTTTTTGTATAAAATAACAATGAACCGCTTGCACATTCGGAGCTTCAGCGGTGAACAGGACACCGACACCCTGCACCTTGCAGACGTCTCGTTACGGGAAAGGGTTAATTATGTATATTTAGGTCTTTGTTTATGAGAGTTTAGACTTGATTATTGCCTTTACTCAGAACTTCCTCCACCGGCTCCTCAAAATAAAACTGGAGACAATATCTAAAATTCCATTGCAAATAATGCCTCGTGAGAAAATGCAATTCGACATATGAGCTGTTTTGCACCGGGCAATCTTCTCCAAAGTGATAGTTATAATTCATACAAACTTAACCAATCAAAGCCCACAAGATGTATGCACTCCGCAGCATTAAATATTAAAAGAGTGATTTGAATAAATTGGCCAAAGCGGTATTCATCTGAAACGTTCAGGCTTTTTTCCCCATTTGTTTTTAGGGCTATAAATCGTGAGGACCGAATTCGTCCATTATCCAGAGCCGAAATCCGTACCATCAAAGGGAGCAAAGCCTTTAGTTTTAACCATATATTTACACAGAGATAATAACCACACGTGTACGCTAAAAATATTTACCATATATTTACACTAAAGATATTAACCGTATATTTACACGGCAAATGAGAGGGGAGATTACTTGAAACTCCCGTTCATGTCAAATGGTCATCACATAATTAATCGATATTGGCAACATAAAGAAATTGGAACCGCTAAAGTTGTGCCACCTCGGGTGGTACCGACAAGTGAGATATCTGCTCTGTGTTCATGTACTAATTTATTTATATCTATATATACGGTAGATTTATTAGGCTTTGAATAGGCCTGCATGTAGAATGCAGCGCTATCCGTTTCGCTAATTTATCCTTAAAAATAAGTTTGTGTTTTCACGAGAACTGCTACGAACTCTCGATTATCCTGCGGGTGGATAATCCAGATTGCGGATTAACTGCGCTTTGCGAAGAATTTTTTTAAAAATATCTGGTGTTGTGCGCCAGTGAAGGCGCTCGTTCTATTATTAGCCGTCTCTGTGGTGCGGTGACGCGGCCCAGCGATCGACAGCGCTCGCCGCCTGCTGCGGAGGTTCACGGTTCAAATCTGGCGGCCGCCATGATTAATGCTGCAGTGTAATCTTAATGAAACGCCTCTCAGTTTGCTAAGCTCACATCGGATGCTCAAGATCATCTAACGTTATTCGCAAGAGTAGGCCATCGTGTGCCTGCGTCGGGGGTCCAAATTTGCCAAATTGTTTAGATCGCGTAAATATATCGTTAAACCCGCCACCGCCCGACAGCCAATTAGTGAGGTTTGTCACGTAGACAAAACGTACCAAATCGTTACTAGTTCAGCACACCGCTGTGTGTGTGTGTGTTGGAGAGTGAACCCACCACAACATTTACTACTCGAGTACCGTGACGCTTCGCCGGTAATTACAGCAACCGGCCTCATCAGGCAAACGGCCAGATTATGTGGAGAGATCTCCCTCCTGTTTGGGTCTTAAATAATTTGAAAGTACCTGCAAATTTACCCGGTGGGGATTAGGCGGGCGGCAGTAGTCATCCCCCCCCCCCCCACACATGCCGGCGCGACTTAATGCACCTCCCTCCCCCCAGATCACTCTCACAAATGACACTATTCTTGGCCTCTCGAGTTCTCACCTGGTTTAAAAACATTTCTTTTTTACTGAAATCTCACTCGTGAGTCAGTGATCGGGTCCAATAAGCGGTAAAAAAACAGCCGACACATTCTGCAGCTTCACCCCCATCTACGAAGGTAAACATTGAACGGGGTTTAATTTTAATAGCTTCATCTGTACACATTTTGTATTACACCCGTGTTTTAGTTTTGTCTGCCTCCCCCCAAAATCGCCGAGGATAAGTTGACTGCGTCACACAGTGTGGTGGGCGCACTGTCGTGACTCGTGTGCATGCGCGTGCGTTTGCATACACACGTGTGTGTGTATGTGTGCGCGTGTGTGTGTGCGTCCCTGAGTGCGATTTAAGGAGCGATTGAGCACTGCTTTGATTGCAGTCCCCAGAGTTGTTAAGCAAGCGTGCTCCGTAATTAAAATCATACCCATTAAACAAATACATTACACACATATATATGAGATGATTAACTTGTCTTCCGGTGATGGCACCTCCCACTTGGCACGGTTGGCTACGACGGTGCGAAAGAAGTTCAAGATATATTCATACAGTGCCAACAGATTCATTCACGGTACTCTCCGCTTGTGTGTTCGGGTTGTAACCACGTGCTGCTCCTCACAGTGCCTGGCTTTGTGCTTCAACTCGCTTCCTGAATTTCCAATTCCAAAGCTCGAAGCGTGGTGTAGCGTAACGTCGGACATATCACGTCAAACATTGCGAGGTACTACATCCCCTAACCGCAGCGCAACTGCAGGAAACAACCGCAGCAGGAACATGCGTACACTTGATGACGAATGATTTCGCTTTCATTAATGTGTTTTTCTGATTGGTACTGGGTAATGGCTGCAAGTTTGGCATGTTTAATTAGCTTTATGGCGTGCCACGGTGGCGAGATGTTAACTCACTCGCCTGGTATGTAGGAGTGTCATGGGTTCGATCCCGACCCTGACGCCTGCTGTATATTTGGAGTTTGCGTGTCTCTCTCCCTGTAGTCGCGTGGATTGTTTTCTCCGGGTCCTCCAGGTTTTTCCACCACATTTAGAAACGTGCGTTTGGAGTATTTGGCGGATATAAATTTCCACGTAATGAGTCACTGCGTTGAGCTGTCATTTGTGGCCAGGTCGCTTACCTGGTAAAACAAAAATAGTTTAAATAGTTGTTTGGGTTATTATTGTGCGTGTTTACCCAGGAAAATCTTAACTGTAATCTCAGTTGAGTATCTTGCATCGAATTTGTATCATTGGGATCTTTCGACAATACCAAATACATTGGACGTATATTCGTTTTTTTTTTAGCTTGTGTTCTGTGCGGAACCCGGAGAAAACCCACTCGGAAGAGGGGGGATGGCATACAAACTTCATACAGAAAAGGCGTGCCCAGGTTGGGAATCGAACCCAGTGGCTTCATGCCTGTGAGAGACCCACTTGTGTCACCGCTGCGCTGGTCTGCCACCGGCTGTCACGTGGGTGCGCGTACTGCGCGGGGCATGGCTTCTATTCGAAGGGATACGACTGGGCGAGCGCGTGTGACGAGATGTGAACTCTTGGCGAGGGCTCGGCACGCCGAGTTCTAGAAGGCCTGATTGTGCAGGTAAAGCTTGTGGCCGAGTGAGGCTCCACTTTATAATCGGATTGAAAATGACAGCCCCCGGCGCCCGGTGGCTTCTGTCGCGTGGGGCTGCGGGGTGTTCCACGTGGCGAGATTAGCGGCTCGGATCGCCCCCACGGCGTTTTCGTTTTAAGGGAGCACTGCCGGACAGCAACCGGAGGTGGCATGCCCCTGGGGCCTGTCGGCTCGTTGTGCTGATGAAAGAAGATTTTCTTGTTAAATAATCCTGTTCAGGCGGGGAGCCTAAATATATCTGTTAACAGAGACCCGAACGCGTGGGTCTCAGACTCTCTCACCCCCCCCCCCCTCACACACCGCTCTCCCGAGTTGAGGAATTGGACTCGGTGGAGCCAGTAAAAGCAAATGTCTGACGAAAAAATCTTGCAATTTAAACGGCATTGGTAAGGTCCCTTATGGGCAAATCACCCCGGATTGCGCCCGTTTCCTATTAGCTCCCCGAAGCTCAGCAGGCTTTTTGAGCCTGGATAATCGTGCCTGGATGGGTGACCACAATGCATTGTTTGGTGTCACCGGCTGCTGTCGGGGGTTAGATGGTCAGTTAGCCAGAATGCAGTTCATCAATGCCCCCCCCCTCCCCACTTCTATCCTCCCCGCCTTGAACGTACAACAGACCAGCGTGGTGAAGTATGGTCATATAACACCCACCACTGGGCATGGACTTGGAGGGGGGTCCTCATCTGGCAGAGGGTTAACAGGATGGAAATATGAAACGGCTTGGCGATTTATACTTAATGAGGCGAAGTTGACCCTGGTGTTTTCAAGGCATTTAAGAGTGCAGTCTCCAGCGAGAAGTCCGTCGATGTTTTTTTTGCTCTTAATTTGTTTTTGCTCCTGAGTTAGGGCTATCGCCCCAAACACCAGACTCCTCTCTGTTTTGTTTTCAACACGGTAAACGTGAACAGAAATGTGTCGTTTTTATTTGCGCTTGTACACCGTTGACATGATAGTTTTTGTTTACATTTTAAGTTTAACGCGTAGTAGTAGCAGGCTTTCGCGACTAATGTTAACCGCTAAAAGTTTTTTTTTGGTTTTTGGGTTAGATCGCGTAAATATAAACGCGTCGTTAAACCCGCCACCGCCCGACACGGCCAATCAGTAAGGTTTGTTGCGTGAACAGAACATGCCAATTAGTTGCTCGTTCAGCACACCGGTGTGTCGGAGAGTAAACCCACGACCTTTACAATTGTTGTGGGTTTACGTTGTCTTTCAACAGTCACTTGGATTATAGCCAGCGTGAGTGGAGTATACTGCTTGGTAGGAAGTCTCATGTGCACTGACCGGCGAGTCTGCGTAACATTGGGCTCAGCCTTTACTTGCGGGACATTTCAATTCATCCTTTTAAGGAGACTTAGCGATCCATCCCGTCAGACTGACACTTGTATCTGCGTCGCTCCAGTGGCGTATGGCCAGTTGGCAGGCGGTGTAATTCATAACATGGGCATCTGTGCGTCTATCGCAGGCGGACGTCTTCTTGTGTTATCAACTTGGTTCTGAACAAGCCCAAAATAATCCAGACCAATGTTCTCACAACGAGAAGTGGCTGTGATGTACACGCGGATGTGTCAATTTTCTAATTATGCCACCAATGATATACCCAACAACACACCAGGCGGTGCGCATACATGAGCCATATGATGCAAGAGAGCCCTTAATTTTGAATAGGCACTCTGCATCACGTGGGACTTATGTACACGCAGGGACGTAGTTGTTGGGTGTGCAGGTGGTGCAACTGCACCGGGGACCCATGAGCCGAAGGGGAGGGGGGGCACAGGTGCCGAGCTTCTAAGAAGAGTAGAAACATTGGAGAGAGGGGACGGGCCCATTGCATCCATTTGAACCAGGACCCATAACATATATTTATGTACGTTGAACCGTACATAGTTAACTGCGTTACTCTGAGGTGCGGTGGAAGGGCAAAATCAGAAGTGCGGGGGAAGGACAACAAACGAAACACAAAAAGCAGTTTCTAAAGAAATGAGTTTTCAATCTAGAGTATTTAAATGTGCATGGCTTTAGTGGCTTCTAATATTGGAAGGAATAGCTTTCCAGACGTCCGCAGAAGCGCATCTGAAAGCGCCGCATGCTGCGGTGACTGTCTTTGTTCGATGGTCAGCCAAAAGTCGCTGCACCTCATTCATCAGTTCTGTTCGCACAGACTGAGAACAAATGTATCATGCGTGTTTTGACTCTGGGACAGAATTCACCACTTTAGTTATACAATAAAACTGATGGCATCTTCGGAATGGCTTCATCTCAATGCGGGAGATTGGTAATTATTTGTGCGTTAGTAATTTGGCAAATGTCGTTTAAACCCGAGGCCCTGGAACGAAGTCAGAAGAACATTTCTCGCCGCATGCAATGTTAAAGGAAAATCGTGTTGATTGGGAGGAATTAACATTTTTCGTAAAT